TTAAGGAAGAGAGGGAGGAAGGGGGAGAAAGGAGAAGGAAAAGAAGAATGAAAGGTTGAAGGGAGGGAAGAGGGAGGGAAGGAAGAAAGGGAGGAGGGAAGGAGGAGGGAGAAAGAAAGAGAAGGAATGAAAGACAAAAGGGAAGGAAGGAGAGGAAGGGGAAGGAAGAGGAAGGGGGGGAAGAAAAGGTGGAAAGGAGGAGAGAGGAAGTAAGGAAGGAAGAAGGGAGGAAGGAGGAAAAAGAAAGAAGCAAGGTAAGGCAGAAGAGAAGGAATTAAGGAAGGAGAGAGGGGGGAAGGAGGGAGAAAAGAGAGAAGGAAGGAAGAGAAAAGGGAAAGGGAGGAAAGAGGAGGAAGGAAGAAAGGGGGGAAGGGGAAGGAAAGAAAAGAGAAAAGACAAAAGGGAAGGAAGGAGAGAGGGGGAAAGAGGAAGGACGAAAAGGTGGAAAGGAGGAGAGAGGAAGAGGAGGAGGGAAGGAGGGAAGGAAAGAAGAGAGGGAGGAGGGAAGGAGAGAGAGAAAAGGAAGAGAGAGGGAAGGAAGGGAAAAGAGAAGGAAAGAAGAATGAAAGGGTTGAAGGGAGGAAGAGAGGGAAGGAAGAAAGGGAGGGAAGGAGGAAAGGAAGGAAAGAAAAAAAAAGGGAAAGAAGGAGAGAGGGGAAGAAGGGGAAAGGGGAAAGGAGGAGAGGGGAAGCTAAAGAAGGAATGGAGGGAGGGAAGGTGGAAGGAAAGAGAGAAGGAGGGTAAGACAGAAGAGAAGGAATTAAAGAAGAGGGAGAAAAGGGAGGGAAGGAGGAAGGAAAAGAAGAATGAAAGGTTCGAAGGGAGGAATGAGGGAGGGAAGGAAGAAAGGGAGGGAAGGAGGAAGGAAAGAGAGAAGGATGGAAGGATACAATCACGAGAGAGAGAAGGGCCTGAGAAAAGAGCCCAAGGGGCCGCATCCGAGCCCCGGGCCTGGGTTTTTGCCCATATCTGCTATAGCTCCTAGTATTTGTTGGTGGTTCCCATTTGAAAACTAACCAGGGCTGACCCCACTTAGCTCTCAATATCAGTCATGATCAATAACAGCCTTTAGTCTGTTTAAGCCTTGAGGCTGTTCCCATCTCAGGCTAAATTTAAATAAATAAAAATGTAATGTTCGTTTGTGGGATTAACAGAACTCAAAAACCACTGGACGAATTGACACCAAATTTGGACACAAGACACCTAACAACCCAATGTATGTCCTTCACTCAAAAAAATTATTTTGTCATTTGGGAATTGTAGTTGCTGGGATTTATAGTTCACCTACAATCAAAGAACATTCTGAACTCCACCAACGATGGAGTTGAACCAAGCTTGTCACACAGTTCTCCCATAACCAACAGAAAATACTGGAAGGCTTTGGTGGGCAGTGTCCTTTGGTTTTGGAGTTGTAGTTCACCTACATCCAGAGATCACTGTGGACTCAAACAATGATGGATCTGGACCAAACTCTACACGAATACTCAATATGCCCAAATGTGAACACTGGTGGAGTTTGGGGAAAATAGAATCTTGACATTTGGGAGTAGTAGTTGCTGAGATTTATAGTTCATCTACACTCACAGAGCAATCTGAACCCCACCAACGATAGAATTGGGCCAAACCTCCCAAACAGAACCCCCATGTGGGCCAAAGCAACGTGTGGCAGGAGACGGCTAGTATTTAAATATATTTTTGAAGTCATGCTTATTATGAGGACTAGAAAGTTGCTTTTTTGTGCTATGCTGAATTGGGGATTCAGGGCGTAGCAGTCTAAATATGTCATTTTCCCGACCTCTGAAATCTAAATATGTGTCTTGTCCTTTTGAGACTGAAGTGGCTTTACTGGCCAGGAGTCTGAGGGACTCTGATCCAGATCTCCTGTCCGGCCTTCACTTTGCAAATGGCATTACCTCCCCGCTCCTGAAGACTTGGTATTAGAGATCGGGTCTGCCTTTGGTGCTCTATGAGAGGAGTGCCAGCACGGCATCTCGTGACTCGCCTGCTTCCTGTCACCTCTCCAGTTAAGAAACTTCCTTCCTATGACTGTTGGCTGCATTTGCCCAGAACATGGGGGAGAATTGGGTGGTGCCAAGAGGCCCTGTTAAGAATCATGGAATCCTAAAGGGCCATTCGGTGCAACCTTCTGCCATTCAGTAACACACAATTAAAGCACTCCCAACAGATGGCCATGTTTGAAGTGTTTTGTATATTTATTTATCTTTTCCAGCTCCTTGCTATAAGTAGTCTTGCTATCTATATATATAAATTTCCTACTGGCGTCCAACGGGGAAGCAAAACTCTAAAACCCCTCCACAAAACTCTACCAAAATTGCCATGCCCCAAGGACAACCCACTAGGTACAAACTAATCCACTCAGAAATCAAAACCACACAACAACAACCACAAAAAACGGCAAAACAACTGAGCATGCGCACTGGCGCAAACTCCCTGGCGCGCGCACACATGGCCCCTCACCCTCCCCCCGCGCGGCACACACACACACGCGCGCGCGCGCCCTCACCCCCCCCGGTGCAGCACACACACGCGCGGTCCCTCACCCCCCCGGCGCGGCACACTACTGCGGGAGGAGCGACACGAAAAAACGGAGTCACACCCGCAGATTGAGAGGAAAAAAAGAAACCAAAGGACGTGGAACAAGCGACGAGCGGGCGAGAGTCGAACCCCCCACCCCGCGCGGCACGCCCCCTTCTAAACCCATCCCCCTCCCCTCCTCCCTAAGCCACGCCCCCTTCTAATCTGTCAAGGAAGAAAGGAGAGAAAGAGGGAGGGAAAGAAAGAAGGAAGGAAGGAATGAGGTAGAAAAGGAAGAAAGGAGAGAAAGAGGAAGGGAAAGAAAAAGGGGGGAGGAAGGAAAGTTAGAGAAGGAAGGAGAGAAGGAAAGAAAAAAGGGAAAGAAGGAAGGAAAGAAGGAGCGAAGGAAGGGGGGAAGATGTAGAGAAAGAGGGAGGGAAGGAAAGAGAGAAGGAAGAAAAGAGAGACAGCAGAAGAGAAAGAAAAAGGGGGAAGGAAGGAAAGAGATAGAGAAGGAAGAAGAGAATGAGAGAAGAGAAAAGGAAGAAAAGCGAGACAGCAGAAGAGAAAGAAAAAGGGGGAAGGAAAGGAAG